ATGGAAATGCCGACGGACTGAGCCGAAGACCCTGCAAAAATGACTGCAGACATTGCTGCAAAGAGAGGTTGAACTAACCAGGTGTCATCAAGCTGAAGTCAAAGTGACTGAAGGAGTTGGTGATGGTGAAATGGAACCAGGTATAGATATTAAATCAGAGCAGGAGAAAGATCAAGAGTTGAAGCCAATAATTGATTTTCTAAAAGCAAGTGTTTTGCGCCCTGCTTGGGAGAAGGTGTGTAGCTTAAGCCCTGTGATAAAGAACTATTGGGCACAATGGGACCAGTTGAAGCTTGAGGATGGTATTCTTGTTCGGAGATGGGAAAGTGACGACCTGGCAAACAGTCATACCGAGAACGTTATGGAAAGTTGTGCTACATCAATCCCATAATAGTTTAACAGGAGGACATCTTGGAGTTAAGAAGACATTGAGTCACCTACGACAGAGATTTTACTGGATAGGTATGAGGCAAGATGTGGAAGAATGGTGCAGGACCTGCGGTACATGTTTTACTAAAAGGGGACCCAAGCATAAGGGACCCACTCCAATGAAGTTATATCAAGTTGGTGCACCATTGGTAAGAGTAGCCATTAACATTGCTGGTCCATTGCCCCAAACTCGTGCTGGAAACAGGTACATTTGTGTGGTGATAGATTATTTCACCAAGTGGCCTGAGGCATATGCAATACCAAATCAGGAAGCTACAACTGTAGCTTCAGCTATTAGCGATTTCTTCTTCAGATTTGGTATGCCATACGAACTGTATTCAGATCAAGGCCGTAACTTTGAATCAGCTGTGTTCCATGAATGCTGTAAGTTATTTGGCATACGAAAGACTAGGACAACGCCACTGCACCCACAGTCTGATGGGATGGTAGAAAAGTACAATTGGACACTGGGACAGGAATTGGCAAAGTTTTGTAATAGCTGCCAAGATGACTGGGATGTCTTACTCCCTCCACTGTTGATGGCTTATAGTACAGAAAAGTATGAAGCCACTGGATACACTCTAGCAAAGCTGATGTTTGGTTGGGAACTTCGGTTGCCAGTGGACCTGATAACAGGACGCCCACCTTAGGAAGAGTTGCCTGAGAATGTGTCAGAGTTTGTGAAAGTGTTATCGGAAAGGATGGATGATATTCACCATCAAGTATGATCAAACTTGAAAACGTCTGCTGATTCGATGAAGTTATCTTATGATAAGAGATCTACTGAAGTCAACTTTGTACCAGGAGACAAGGTGTGGTTGTATAATCCCAGGAAGACCAAAGGGAAGTCTCCTAAGTTGTCTTCTCCATGGGAAGGCCCATCTGACGTAGTTGATCGTCTCTCAGACGTGACTTTCCGGATGAAATGTGGTCAGCAAGGTAAGCTAAAGGTGGCGCATGCCAACAGGCTTTGGCATTATCACGGTCCAGGGCATTTCAGTTGGGATGAAATGAACAATGGAACAAATGATACTGCTGAAGACGTGTCACCTGAAAAAGCCACTGTCGAAGAAGAAACTCTATTCGGTTTTGAGAAGGGAAACAGTGAAGCCCTTGATGAAGTTACTACCACTGATGTGACTGTTACCAACGATAGGACGTTTCCTGATGAAGCAGATGAACCCCATTTGAAGCAGAAGCCAACGAGACGGAGACCAGTATGGAAGAAGATACGTCTCGTAAAATTAAAAGACTTTTTGATTTTGTGTTTGTAAATTCTGTACATTTAATTAAGTTATTGTTAATTGTTTGTTGGTTTAATGTAAGTGGCTATTGTTCGGGACGAACAATACTAAGGAAGGGGCAGTGTTACGACAGCGGGGGTCACGTGACGAGTATTCTAGAAGATTCTCGATAAACGTTAGTGTTACGACAGCGGAAGTCAAGTGAATCTGGTAGCACGTGTTGAGTGCCTAGAAAGTTCTAGAAGAGGCGGTATTATCGTATATAAGTGCGCTAGGGGCAGAGAAGGAGAGAGTGGGGAACCAAGGACAGCAGTTACGGTCGGCGGGAACCGAGGATAGCAGATACAGAGATCGGAACTATAGTTGCTGACAGGCGGAGATAGAGACGGACAATTGATTCAATCGCGGTAGAAAGTGAGTGAATTGTTGTGAACTATATGGTGTGTAACTGTGAAAATTAAGTGTATTGCAAAGTTGTATTGAGGAAGAACAAACAAGTTCTATTTAAGAAAGGACTTGTATCGTAGAAAAATTAACAAACAAACATACAGAGACGTAACACTTCTTTAACTTATGTCATTTTTAACCAGTTTTTTCCTTTGTCTTTAGTAAACCAGTTCTTTCTTGGAACATGTCCATCTTGAATTAAAAGCAATTTATTTTTAAATATTTTCCAGATCTATCCCCTATCACCTTCTAACTCATTGTTCAAATTCACTAATGTTAAATCTTGTCTCGTGGAATGTAAATATTTTCTGTAGAAGTTGGGTAATTTTCATGCTTTGTTTTCAATTCCGTGGTCTCACCAAAACACATCTTTGATACCAAAGTTCTATTTTAAAATCGGCCCATAAATGGGAGGATAGAAAAATTCTATAGAGTGACAAGGTTGTTTAGTCTACTTTCAAAACTCGTTTATTATAATTTTCTGTTTATTGGATTAGGTCTACATGTTGAAGTGAAATTAGCCTACTCATATAATTTTTAAATATGTTTGGAACATAATGCATTAGTGGTTATATTTATTTTGTTGATTAATAGTGTAACAATTTACTGAGTGTTACATCTAATTCTTGTTTTTATAATTTACTTAACTACTTTATTAATTTTAACAAATTTATATTGTTTATTTGTAATTAAGCACAAAGCTACACAATGGGCTCTGCCCACCAATGGTATCGAAACCCGGATTCTAGCGTTGTAAATCCGCAGACATACCGCTGTGCTACTGGGGGGCAAACACAAATTTATAAGTATTAAGAGAAGTTATAAAACATTCAATGTACTTGTTATTATTTCTCGCTTCCACTGTTAAACATTGAAGACTTTAAGATTGTCTTACATATATTTACATATGTCAGCAAACTTAATGTAACAACAAAGGATTTCAACTGTGGTGTGTTAACGAAAGCTACATCAAATGTGTGTAAAATAGGTATTCTGTATATATTTTTTTTTTGTAAAGATACCTATATTAAAAAAATTTTAAACTTGAATAAACCACAACTTTAGTATGATAAGAAAACTTTTATTAAAGGTTCAAGGCTGTATAAAAAATGGGAAGGCAATAAAATAACCCCAAAGCTGACTAGATCCCATGTGATACGATTCACTAACCAATCAATAAACATACACACTAACCACACAGAGATAAAGTTAATCTGTAAAAATATTGAAATGTTAGATTCAACTGGCAACATTTTCATGATTTAAATTTTATGTCAACACACAGAATAAACAGATCAAGTAATCAGTTACCATTTGTATAAAAACTTCAATACTACTGACATAGACCATTTTGATACATTTATTTCTTTACATATAACAGGAACCCTTTTATTTTTTACAATTTCAAGTGTTAGCATAACAATGGTAATTTAATACCTTGAAACCTGTATTAGAAAAATAAACTGAAATATGTTGTACTTGTTGTTGACTGAAATCATTAACCTTCCAACTGTCAGACAGATCATCACAATAAGTATACTTGCATTGGGAAAAGATCCTTTAAAGGTAAACTTTAAATACTATGATAATAAAACAAAACTCACAGTCTGTTAAACTGTGAAGTTAAAAATGTCAACATAAATACCTTACAGAAGATGATGATTTGAGGTAAGAATATTCAAAATTGTGTTTAAAAGAGCAATATAGAAATGGCAAAGAATCACTGCTATTGTACTGAATTTTACAACTAGGCCAAGTTCCTCTTCCTCCAGTTCTCTTACAAAGCATAGTAGAGACCAAGTCTCTCCTCCTCCAGTTCCATTTCAAAACATGGTACAAACCAAGTCACTGGTTTTCCAGTCCCCTTTCAAAATATTATACAAACCAAGTCATTGATCCTCCAGCTCTATTTCAAACCATATGTTGGATATACAAGACTGTTTGGTGTGAGTTTTTATTTAATTTATTTAGTGATCTAATGTTTAATGATTATTTAGTTTTCACGACAAATGTGTTAAAAGTTATTTATTTTAAAAGTGATAGTTAACTAACTTTGTATGAGTTGCACGTTGTGTAATATTGTTGATGTCATCTGTCTCAAAGTCTCTCAATTTTTATTGCTATGTGAATATTGTTACTAATAGAAGGCTAGATATTTCTAGATTTTTTCTGTCACATGTTATAAATAGGTGCAGATACAGAGAAGTTAGGTTATGTCAGAAACCATTAAGTTAGTAAAAGTGAAGTTAGACTGCGTGATTGTTATTTTAGCCATAACAGGTGATACTTAAAGTGAGTTTCAGAGTTTACCAGAGATAAGGAGAATAACTTGTCTTGTCATAGGGTGTTCTAAAGTAACTGAACCTGTCTGTGTGGACTTTCATGAAAGGAAACAATTATTTAAAGTTCAGGATACAACTGTGGTAACCACTGATTTTGTGAAAAAGGAAGATAAAAACCAATAATTCGTCTTGTCAATTGCATTCTAAAGTAACTGAACTAGCCTGTGTGTGGACTTTTGACATACATTTTTGTATATACATTGGACTTGTTTTGAATATAATATTTTAAAACAAGTGGATTGTGTGCTGTCTGTTTATTGTTCAAATTTATTGCCAACAAGTCAGACACCTACTGTAGAAGAATCCCAGCTCACTCATATTTAAAACCCTGACACCATATTACAGACCAAGTTACTTTTCTACCAGTTCCCATTCATATCCTGGTACACACCAAGTTACTACTCCTCCACTATCCCCTTTAAACCATAGTACAAACCAAATTACTACTCCTCCACTATCCCCTTTAAATCATAGTACAAACCAAATTACTACTCCTCCACTATCCCCTTTAAATCATAGTACAAACCAAATTACTACTCCTCCACTCTCCCCTTTAAATCATAGTACAAACCAAATTACTACTCCTCCACTATCCCCTTTAAACCACAGTACAGACCAAGTTACTACTTCTCCAGTTCAATTTTGAAACATAACACACACCAATTCACTCATTCTTCATTTCCCTTTCAAACCATAGTAAAGACCATTTCACTCCTCCTCTAGTGCACTTTTGAAATATAATACAGACCAAGTTACTGCTCCTCCAGTTCCCTTTCAAAATACAATACAAACTAAGTTGCTGCTCCTCCAGTTCTCTTTCAAATCATAGTACAAACTAAGTTACTACTCGCCCCCAGTTCCCATTCAAACCATAGTGCAGACCAAGTCACTCCTCCTCCAGTTCCCTTCAGACCATAGTATAAACTAAGTTACTCTTCATCCAGTTCCCATTTAAAATATAATATAGACCAAAGTCACCCCTCCTCCAGTTCCCCTTTCGAAATATCATACATATCAAGTGGCTCCTCCTCCAGTTCCCTTTCAAAATATAACACAGGTCAAGTGACTCCTCCTCCAGTCCCCTTTCAAAATATAATACAGACAAAGTCATTCCTCCCCCAGTTCCCTATTAAATTATGGTACAGACCAAGTTACTGCTCCTCCACTTCCCCTTTCAAAACATAGAATTATCATTGAGATGGCTGAAAGCATTCTTGTTAAAGTTATAAAAATAATTTTTTTGTGATATGTGGACAGATATAATAATTTCTGATATTACAGATAATATTTTCAAATGTACCAGTATTAATACTTCTCATATTTAGTCCTAACCAAATGCATATATTATGACAGTATAATCAAAACATTAATCTTTTGCAGCAAAATATATATAAAATGTATTACTTAGTCTAAGAAATCTCACACTGTATGGCAACAATTGGCAAAATCAAAACAAATCTGCAAAACTAATTAAGAACTAATTTTCTTTGATATCAAATGTTGAAGTCATACTTGCTGCTTTGAAGTCTGTTATATGCCAGAATTATGTTAAACAATTGGTTTTTCACTGTTCTGAAGCACCCAGTTTTTTCTTTCATTTTAGCTATAATGTAAAGCCTTATAACCTGAAATGTTGCAAAAATAAAAATGTTTGTTCTCCTTCTTTCTTATATATATATATATTGTTTTTCTGTTTAGCTTGAATGGCAAAGCTACAGTTTGTGTCACTACAGTTCCACATAACATATAAATATATTCATAGCACACAAAAAGTACTAGTAATTATTATAAATTATAAACTTTATTCATTAAATTTGTGTCACATGATCTTGTTCTAGTTTAAATAGTTTAATTATGTGTCACATGACCTTACTTTAGTTTAGATACAGTTTGATCATGTGTCAGGTTCTGTTTTAGTTCAAACAGTTTGTCACATGATCATGTTTTAGTTTAGAAAATTTGTCACATAACCTTGCTAAATTCAAATACAGTTTTATCATGTATCATAGGGCCTTGTTTTAGCTTAGACAGTTTAATTGTGTCAAAAAATTAGAATAATGCTTTAGTTTGAGAATACCGACTAGCTATGCGACACAAAAATAAACACTGCATTCCATAGTCATATTTTGTATACGGTTAAATTTTATTTAGTAAAAGCAATCACTAATTTATTGTTAACTTTAAAGTTACACATTATTTGTCTCACAACACATTCAGTGATCACTTTTTTAATTTTTTTTATGATACACATTTACATTTCTAGTCACTTATGAACTACTATTCTTAGTAAACTATGCTATCGGTGTTTTTTAATTGTGTGCTTTGACACTGTTATTTGCCATACTACAGAAGGTACACTGAGTCAACCGTGATTGTGGTGTTTTTTGTCATTTCATACTGGCCATTATTTCACCTGGAAGATGAATGTAAAACAAAATTATTATCCAACCATGAGGAATGCTTCTGTTGCTATAGCAACTGTTTCAATGTAATGTCATGTGCAAAAGCCAATGTCAAAACTGTAATTTTATGTAACAGATAAACACACAATTATACTTTGAAACAATTAAAAAACAAGTATTAGAAATTTTACTAACTAAATTTGTACTTTAAAAAAAGTGTTATACCATTAACACATACAAGTAGCATTTTATCTGTTGTACAAATGGTCTATACTAAAGACAATTCAATAAATTCCTTTAAGTAAAATATATAACACTCAAAAAATTATTACAGCTGAAAGAGACAGCATACTTTTTATATCAAGAAACAAAAGTATAAAATTATCTAAGTGCTTTAAAATAAAAATAATTGCATTGTTCACTTTTGAAAATAATTGTTCTCTCTCACTTTCTCACTCTGATGAACTTTTTTAACAGCTTGGTAATTGAAAAATAATTCTTTAAAAATCAACTCATTTCACATTCTTAACAGCTTCAAAGTTGTAAAACCAAGTTTAAAACAAACTACTGTTCTTTCATGCCAAATAAACAAGTTTCATGCTGCTATAAATACATCTATAAAATTGAGATTAAGGAGTCAATTCCACTTGAAACTTTAAAAATGTAACTAACAACTTGCACAAGGCTCTAAGTTTCAGTGGTAGAGAAGTTATACACCAGCATATTTTCAAAAAGGGTTTCCCAGATATTTTAACACTGATAAAAAAAAATGTTTCAAAATTATGCACATTTTTATACCAATTTGTATGTTAACCATCAGTAAATGTACAATTTTAGAGAGATTCTAAAGATGTCAGGTAATAATAATTATATTTTGAAAATGTGGAATTACCAATGAAAACTTTTTTAAATGATTTAAAAACAAAGATTTACGTTTTTGGAAGGGGAGTACAATTAGACGCAAGTTCATATCATACATCAAAGCACTTACAATGCTTTATAAAGTTAACATTTTCCTAAACTGAAAATATATTTCCCATAGATACTTACATTCTCTCACATAAAGCTTTCACAACTAGTACTGCCCTCTATCGGTGCAGATTGTTCGCTCACCACTAGTGTTGAAACTCCCACTTCTTTCTGCTTATGAACATGTAAATGATTATACAAGAATCCTCCACAAATTGGAGTGTGACATTACTCCTATCATAACCAGTGCCCTACCTAATCATGCACTTATTAAACACTTCGAGATTGGTCATAACTAGTTGAACCAAATCACAACAGAAGTGGGGAGGACAGGTGGGAAATGTGAGAGGAGGTTAGTATTTATCAGAAATACATTTTCAATTTAGGAAAATGTTAACTTCTGATACAATATCTCACCTCCTCCCACAAAAGACTAGAATACCACATTGAACTGGTGGAGGGCCAGTCAGAATATGATCCTCCTTGAGAAAGTGCCCAAAGAAAGATCATGAAGTGTGGTAAGGAATAAAAAACATCACACCAGTGGAAGACTGCACCACTTCTGAATGTCACCAAAAAAAAACATGGGGATCCTTTAGCAGGAAAGGGTCCCCCAGGTGTCGAGTGGCTAGGACGCAACAGACCATAAATGGGAGTTTGACCTCAACCAACACCTGGCAACATCTGGAATTGTACATCAGGTCCACAGTGGGAAGAGGGTTCTCTACCTTTCACCTCAAAAACATGTACTGGACGGGAATATGAGCATCCAATCCAAGAATCCAACTCCATACATGCCCACCTCCAACACAATCAACACTGGATATGCTGGGAACTGACATCCAACAGATGGTAGGAAGTAAGGAGAGCTCGGGAAGAATTTATCTCTGGGCCAAAACCTGGCAGCAATGGGTATGTTATGTTCAGTCCATGGTAGAAACAGGGAAGTAAGCCTTACACATGTGGGTAATCATGTGTTTTGTTCAACTTCAAATAACACCAGATCCACTGGGAACAACATCCAGTGGATAGTAAAAAGATGAAAATGGACGTCAATTTGGGGTAACATCTCCAGTCCAAAACCTGGTGGCATTAAAAATTTATCATCCAGTCCACTGTAGAGGAGAGAATCAGCCAATCACAGGTGAAGACTGTGGCTGGACCATTTCCAACCAACACCTGACCCAACCGGGAACTGACATCCAGAGGATGGTATGAAGGAGGAATATCTCAGCTAGAGGGGCAAATTGCAATATATATTCATATGGCGGAGTGCTACAACCAACACCTGACAGCATCTTGAATTGTATGTCAGATCTGTGGTAGACCAATAGAACACGAGATATAATTACCAGTGATCCTATGGAACATTCGATCTCTACAGTGTGTGTAACACAATCCTGTGATGTTTTATTATGTTTAATGTAATACTTGTGACATCGATGTATAGTTGACACTTGGACTTAATCAATCAACCAACAACTCGTGGCATCTGTATACCTTGTTAGGCACCACTTGCCATAGAGCAGGATCCAAAACATATGTAGCAAAAGGCTCCTGTAAAGAAAAATAAAAACAAACAGAGTAATCCACATAGCCACCCTGATGATGTCCACCAAGAGAAGATGAAAAAGGGCAGCCAGGGACATAGAAAGGTGATGGATCTGATGGGAAAAAAAAAACATGAAAAAGACAACAGGGGGAAGAATATGCCAGGTGAAGTGACTGGCAAATCCAACCTATAAGGAGAATGAGAGAAAAGTCACAAAAAAAGTAGGATTCCAATGAATAAACAAATGGACCCAGGAACCACAGAAGGATGCAGTGCATGTCATATACCAGCTAAGGTTCCTGATCGGGCAAAATAGTAGGTCAAGATCAGAACAGTCTTAAATGTGGAAGATGGAAGGAAGGGTATGAGGAGTGAAGTCGGGATTACTCTCCTGAGCAGCCAAAGTATTGAGCATAAAGGAACACTCAGGAACTATAGAACAGAACATAGCGAATCCTGATTGCAAACACATTGGAAAGAAGGAGACCACATGCCAACAATATAAGGAACAAGGACTGCAAAGAAAAGTAATATAATGAACATGACAACAAAGGTTCAAACTGAGGACGAGTAAGAGCATTGAGGTTCTAATCCTGGAAAGAAGCAGGACAGGGAGGACAAGCAACGTAGAATGAGTGAAATAAAATACAGTACGAGAATGGAACACAGAAGCAAATTTAGTAAACCAAATATTGGAAGACAAAACTGCCCTATAACCCACAACAATGGAAAGCGATAGGTCCCAACATAAAGCTAAGTGAAAAAGGGTGGCAATGGAGAAATGGTAGGAAGGATGATAGCCTACGTATATAGACCAACAGCATTAAGCATACCACCTACATTGGCAGACTGACAAAGAGGAAGGACGAACAGAATGGGAAACCAAGGAACCTAAATGACTGGAAGTCCCGACCTTCAGACGAGGGTCCGGACAAAAGCCACATGTGAAGATGGATGACACACACCGAATTGTGGGTGACAAAAGCAGATGAAGGGGAGGTGACACAAAAAGCTGTCACATATGTGTAAACCATGCTAGAGATGGCCAATACCAGCAGAACATGACATGGAGTGATGTGAACTATTCATAGGACACAAGGAAGAAAACAAAACAAACGGCCCTTTAAAAAACTCAAAGCGATCATCCAAAGATCAAGAAAGATATTGTTCAAAAGGTCATTTTCAGTCCAGAAATGTTAATGGTGAAATATACGATCGGGAATGGCTGTGTTTACTGCTTTGTCTGCAAGCTCTTTTCAACATCAACTGCAGCTCTAGCTTCTGGTGGATTTTCTGACTGGAGGAATCCCACTGCAATTCAAAGACATGAAAACTCTGAAGAGCATAGAACAGCTTTGCTGACATACTTGACAAAAAAAAGAGTGGTTCAACCTTAGACTCAAAACTAGCAGAACAAATAAAAACAGAACAACGATACTGGAGACACATGCTTGAGCATGTTGTTGCAGTGATATGCACATTAGCAGAACGTGGGCTAGCTTTTAGGGGAGACAATGAAACTTTTGGATCACCAAATAATGGCAACTATCTTGGCCTGTTAGAATTAATTGCTAAGTTTGTTATAGTAAGATATGTATCAACTGGTGATGGTTTGCCTGTTGAACGCTTTCTAACTTTCCTAGAGCAGGAAAATCACAGTGGTGAAAGAATGGTGGCGGACTATCTAAGTAAAGACTGCAAAGTTGATTTCAGTAAGTGCCAAGGACAGTCATATGATAATGCAGCAAATATGGCTGGTAAATACATTGGAATGCAACAAAAAATTCTCGAGAAAAACAATCATGCTATGTATATTCCCTGTGCCAGACATTCACTAAATCTTGTTGGCTGTGCTGCAGTAAATTGCTGTTTAGATGCAGTAAACTTTTTTGCTGTTGTGCAAGAAATATACACTTTCTTTTCCTCTTCTACGAAGAAAATAAACATTTGAAAATAATTTGTATTTTTACTTTAAATACCTTGCTATTAAATAATTAAAAGTCATATATATGTTTTTAATTGTTTTTGTGGCAACCCAAGGTCCTGTTTTGGTATGCACCTTTGCGAGACCTTCTGATGTAACTTTTTTAACAAGGGGCCACCAAGCTTTATATAGCTTAGGGCCTCACCAAATCTAAATCCGGCACTGCCGACACTGCCATAGAATTGTCAGAGTGAATCATCATCACCACCTAGTCTTGAAGAGCCAGTAAGAAGGTAAGTACTGCCCGATGAACAGCAAGAAGGTCTAAGAGACTGATAAGAAGAACAGATTCAAAAAGAGTTCCCCTCCCCAAAACCTCCAGAGTGTCAGGAAATGCTATCCAAATGGAAAGAGGAGCATCCAAAAAAGGTGACAAAACCAGATGAGGAAGAGTAATGTTGGTCCGATCTCTAACCATCAGTCAAATACGGACTGTAAGTGAAAAGAAAAGGTAAGAGTAGTATCCATGGGAACCCTAACAAGGCACCATTGGGCAATCAAATAGTACTGAAGATGGTGCATGAGGGTACAACCAAAAGGAATGGGGGCTTTGAGAGGGGTCCATTTCTCCAAATGAGATAGAACTTCATGTGCAGAAGGAAAGGGTGAATAGGAGACTCCACATATGAGACATTCGTTGCTCTCAATTGAAGAGGAGAAGGCTGGTCCCAACAAAGAAAAGAAGTGAGAAACATACCAAGAATAGTCAAAAACTGAGTAAGTGTGAGGAATGACTTCCCAACCTTGATAAGCCAACCCACCCAGGCATCTTTACAAAGAAGAAACTGAGTATGGAGGGCAGAGTCAGCCTGTTATGAAGCTAGAAGTAGCTTCTCGTCCATGTAATGGTGTAAATGAAGGCCCTGGGAATGAAACAAGCAAAGGTCTAGACCATTCAATAGAAAACAAATGGAGCCAAGGCAAGTCCAAATGGAAAGCCTAAAACTGAAACACACACACAAACAATGAACAAGATGATAAATCAAAAACCAGGTGACAATCTCCCATCATATTGGGAATGACAAAAAAGAAAAGAATAAACCCCTAACAAGAAGGTTCTCCTCTCTGATGACCCCGTTGAGAAATAAATCCTGAGCCACCTCTGACTGATACTGGCAAGAAACAGAATCCCACTGAGTGGGGGAAGAAATTGGATGGTGAAACAACAGGGGGGGGGGGAGGTGAGTGGAAAGGGAGGTATGTAGATGAGCTGAATCAACCCCAAACTCCTCAAGATGAAGAAAAAGGTGCCACGCACAATTCACGCAAAGTAGAGGGGATAAACAAACCCCACATGAAACAGTATCCTGACCTAGAAGAACCAGACAGCAGAGCAGCCATGTCCATAAAAAGAGGGATGAAGAGGAAGGGTGTGCCATGGGAGCAAATAAAAAAAGAGACTATTATGATCAACAGAAAACCCTTATGAGACAGATGAATAGCCCCAACAAAAAAGTGAAGGGAGGATAATGCATAGATAATTTTGTATATCATAAGAAGTATACAGGAAAATGGAGGTAGGGAAAATAAACCAAACCATCAGGGTTTGAACCCCTCATAGGAAGAAGAATTCCAATAGGTATGAATTTAATTATGGGTAGTTGAAACTATAAAAGCAAAAATATGATAGGCCAACGTAGGTGGGGGGCAAGGCATATCGATCCACAAAATGCAAATGTACCCCAAAATGACTAGCAATAACCCCAATATGTGGGTAAGGAAGAAAACACAAAGAACGACCCAAAGATTAATCCCCTAGGTTAGCATGTGTAGAATCTTAAAGGAAAACAGGAGACAAAGACAAAACACAACATACCTAATTAAACAATCCTACAAAGGGAGGAGGAGGCCTGAGTAAGACCCCCGAAAAAGGACATGTGACAGATAAACATATTCAGAAGGGGGAAAAAGGCTGCCAAATGTCACATCCACCCGTACAAACACACCTAGGCACTGGTATGACAGGACTTTCATCAGGTTATTCAGTATGTTGTCTGAAATACACAATTCTCGACGGATCATAGCCATCACATCAGCAGCTGATAACTGTAGTACTAACCCAGTAGAAGTGGTCAGTAAATCCACTGTAGCAGTAACAGAACAAAAAATAGAAAATGGATAGTAAATAATGAAAATAAAGCACGACTTTCCATAAAAAATGGAAAAATGACAATAACTGAATTAGAAAAATACATGAAAGTAAAAACGCGTGGATATAATAACTAAATCATGAGCAAAAACAAATACATCTGCACAGTAAGACTGCCAATCGAGAAGTGATTAACAAGTGCATAATTAGAGAGGGTGCTAGTTATGATGGTGGTAGTGTCACACTCCTATTGGTGGAAGGTTGCTGCATGATACTTTACATGTTGATATGCAGAAAGAAGTGGGAGTTTCAAGGCTAGAGGCGAGCGAAAGATTTGTGCCTATAGAGGGCAGTATTATTTAAGAAAGCTTTTTGTGAGTGGAAGTAAGATATTGTATCGGAATGATGAATTTCTGATGACAGTAAACTACTTATTGCTTTATTTCTTATTCATACATTTAAAATACATGAACATTTCTGTAAGTAATTACATAGAATTCCTTTTCTTCTGCAAACCTCTGTGGTGATTATGTTCATATTTTGCAATAATTTGAATGCTACTGGTGGGCAGGTTCTTTTTTGGTAATGGTAGACACAGCCTCTTCAGGGAGCTGAGAAGGGTCTGAAAGAATACTTGTGGTTGTACTTAGGTGTCGCAAAGAGTTGAGAACAACTGGAAGCAAGGAATATCTCAGTATAGAACACATGTTGTTTACAGCAAGTTTAATTACCTTTTTATGACTACTTAGACACTTCATGCACCATAAAAAAAATAAACAGGCATGACAGTGATCTAAAGTGATGGTCAGTAACCTCAGAATAATGTATGAATAATCAATTACATCTTAGGTAAATAACATTATAATCATTAAACTCGTATATATATTGAAAACAAGTTCTAAAAATAAAATTAATAATGAACTTAGCCCAATGAAAAACAGATCAAGAAATCAACAATACTAATGTAGTACAATCATGATGCTAGAAATACATACAGGTTCAAGAAGTCTTGATAGAAATGAATAAAAATCCTATAACCCAAGCACTTTCGAAAGGTGGACCTTTCTTCTTCACAGGAAAACTGGGAGGTTGGTACAATATTTTTTTCATTAACAGATTATTTTGAATTATTTAGTGAAAATAATTCAAAGACTAGTCCATGTAACAATAACAAATTAGTTTGTTTCTTCCTTAACATTTCTTTACAGGCTTATACACTTCGTAAGTTGTTGACCTAAGTAACTTTACAAATGATTCTCAAAGGGGAAGTACTTTGACTATCATAAAATTAAACTTACTTGTACAACTTGGTGGCTGATCAATCAAAAAGGTAGGTTACCCTTCTATCATCAAATTAGACATTTTTAGAAAATCAACATTAATTAAGCTAAATATATGATAGAAGTAAGTTTAAAGATTCCCTAATCTTTAATGTTTAGATACATTGTGTGTATATATATAAGTCACTTAAAAGTCTTGGAGAATTCTGTCAATTAAACACCCCAGACTGATAACTGGAATTCAACAATTTATTTGTATACTAATCACAGAACAAAAAAAAAAATTATTATAGCAAAAAATTTGTGTGCGTGTGTGCATGTGTGTGTGTGACTAAGTTTTAGGATAGAATCTCAATAAAAAAAATGTTCTCTTTAAAAGTGACTTGATATGTGTAGTATTAAAATATTACTTGAATCTATATAAGGTTCAGTGTGTCACATAACTCCTCCTAAACTGCTAGGTCCTACCAACTTCTAAATGGTACCAAAGGAATTGTCTCAGTCCCGAGATTTGTACAAAGGATAAAATTTTCACTCCACCCCTTAGGGAACCTGGGGATTACTCAAAATACCCTTCTCCTAAAATGCTGGTATCACCAAATTCTAAATAGTGCTAAACGATTCATCTTGGCTCCAAGGTTTGTAAAAAGGTAAAACTTTTCACCCAACCCCTTAGGGAACCCATGTATTTCACGAAAACACTTTTACAGGGATTCCCCGAAAGCAGCCCCCAAATTTGGCAGTGATTTACATTACAGCATGTAAATAAATAGGCCCACAAATTACCATTCCTAAAGTGGTTAAAGAAATTAAAC